TGAGGCGATTACCACATGTCATGGCTGCGCCATTCATGACCTTCCTATGAGGCGATTACCACATGTCATGGCTGCGCCATTCATGACCTTCCTATGAGGCGATTACCACATGTCATGGCTGCGCCATTCATGACCTTCCTATGAGGCGATTACCACATGTCATGGCTGCGCCATTCATGACCTTCCTATGAGGCGATTACCACATGTCATGGCTGCGCCATTCATGACCTTCCTATGAGGCGATTACCACATGTCATGGCTGCGCCATTCATGACCTTCCTATGAGGCGATTACCACATGTCATGGCTGCGCCATTCATGACCTTCCTATGAGGCGATTACCACATGTCATGGCTGCGCCATTCATGACCTTCCTATGAGGCGATTACCACATGTCATGGCTGCGCCATTCATGACCTTCCTATGAGGCGATTACCACATGTCATGGCTGCGCCATTCATGACCTTCCTATGAGGCGATTACCACATGTCATGGCTGCGCCATTCATGACCTTCCTATGAGGCGATTACCACATGTCATGGCTGCGCCATTCATGACCTTCCTATGAGGCGATTACCACATGTCATGGCTGCGCCATTCATGACCTTCCTATGAGGCGATTACCACATGTCATGGCTGCGCCATTCATGACCTTCCTATGAGGCGATTACCACATGTCATGGCTGCGCCATTCATGACCTTCCTATGAGGCGATTACCACATGTCATGGCTGCGCCATTCATGACCTTCCTATGAGGCGATTACCACATGTCATGGCTGCGCCATTCATGACCTTCCTATGAGGCGATTACCACATGTCATGGCTGCGCCATTCATGACCTTCCTATGAGGCGATTACCACATGTCATGGCTGCGCCATTCATGACCTTCCTATGAGGCGATTACCACATGTCATGGCTGCGCCATTCATGACCTTCCTATGAGGCGATTACCACATGTCATGGCTGCGCCATTCATGACCTTCCTATGAGGCGATTACCACATGTCATGGCTGCGCCATTCATGACCTTCCTATGAGGCGATTACCACATGTCATGGCTGCGCCATTCATGACCTTCCTATGAGGCGATTACCACATGTCATGGCTGCGCCATTCATGACCTTCCTATGAGGCGATTACCACATGTCATGGCTGCGCCATTCATGACCTTCCTATGAGGCGATTACCACATGTCATGGCTGCGCCATTCATGACCTTCCTATGAGGCGATTACCACATGTCATGGCTGCGCCATTCATGACCTTCCTATGAGGCGATTACCACATGTCATGGCTGCGCCATTCATGACCTTCCTATGAGGCGATTACCACATGTCATGGCTGCGCCATTCATGACCTTCCTATGAGGCGATTACCACATGTCATGGCTGCGCCATTCATGACCTTCCTATGAGGCGATTACCACATGTCATGGCTGCGCCATTCATGACCTTCCTATGAGGCGATTACCACATGTCATGGCTGCGCCATTCATGACCTTCCTATGAGGCGATTACCACATGTCATGGCTGCGCCATTCATGACCTTCCTATGAGGCGATTACCACATGTCATGGCTGCGCCATTCATGACCTTCCTATGAGGCGATTACCACATGTCATGGCTGCGCCATTCATGACCTTCCTATGAGGCGATTACCACATGTCATGGCTGCGCCATTCATGACCTTCCTATGAGGCGATTACCACATGTCATGGCTGCGCCATTCATGACCTTCCTATGAGGCGATTACCACATGTCATGGCTGCGCCATTCATGACCTTCCTATGAGGCGATTACCACATGTCATGGCTGCGCCATTCATGACCTTCCTATGAGGCGATTACCACATGTCATGGCTGCGCCATTCATGACCTTCCTATGAGGCGATTACCACATGTCATGGCTGCGCCATTCATGACCTTCCTATGAGGCGATTACCACATGTCATGGCTGCGCCATTCATGACCTTCCTATGAGGCGATTACCACATGACATGGCTGCGCCATTCATGACCTTCCTATGAGGCGATTACCACATGTCATGGCTGCGCCATTCATGACCTTCCTATGAGGCGATTACCACATGTCATGGCTGCGCCATTCATGACCTTCCTATGAGGCGATTACCACATGTCATGGCTGCGCCATTCATGACCTTCCTATGAGGCGATTACCACATGTCATGGCTGCGCCATTCATGACCTTCCTATGAGGCGATTACCACATGTCATGGCTGCGCCATTCATGACCTTCCTATGAGGCGATTACCACATGTCATGGCTGCGCCATTCATGACCTTCCTATGAGGCGATTACCACATGTCATGGCTGCGCCATTCATGACCTTCCTATGAGGCGATTACCACATGTCATGGCTGCGCCATTCATGACCTTCCTATGAGGCGATTACCACATGTCATGGCTGCGCCATTCATGACCTTCCTATGAGGCGATTACCACATGTCATGGCTGCGCCATTCATGACCTTCCTATGAGGCGATTACCACATGTCATGGCTGCGCCATTCATGACCTTCCTATGAGGCGATTACCACATGTCATGGCTGCGCCATTCATGACCTTCCTATGAGGCGATTACCACATGTCATGGCTGCGCCATTCATGACCTTCCTATGAGGCGATTACCACATGTCATGGCTGCGCCATTCATGACCTTCCTATGAGGCGATTACCACATGTCATGGCTGCGCCATTCATGACCTTCCTATGAGGCGATTACCACATGTCATGGCTGCGCCATTCATGACCTTCCTATGAGGCGATTACCACATGTCATGGCTGCGCCATTCATGACCTTCCTATGAGGCGATTACCACATGTCATGGCTGCGCCATTCATGACCTTCCTATGAGGCGATTACCACATGTCATGGCTGCGCCATTCATGACCTTCCTATGAGGCGATTACCACATGTCATGGCTGCGCCATTCATGACCTTCCTATGAGGCGATTACCACATGTCATGGCTGCGCCATTCATGACCTTCCTATGAGGCGATTACCACATGTCATGGCTGCGCCATTCATGACCTTCCTATGAGGCGATTACCACATGTCATGGCTGCGCCATTCATGACCTTCCTATGAGGCGATTACCACATGTCATGGCTGCGCCATTCATGACCTTCCTATGAGGCGATTACCACATGTCATGGCTGCGCCATTCATGACCTTCCTATGAGGCGATTACCACATGTCATGGCTGCGCCATTCATGACCTTCCTATGAGGCGATTACCACATGTCATGGCTGCGCCATTCATGACCTTCCTATGAGGCGATTACCACATGTCATGGCTGCGCCATTCATGACCTTCCTATGAGGCGATTACCACATGTCATGGCTGCGCCATCCATGACCTTCCTATGAGGCGATTACCACATGTCATGGCTGCGCCATTCATGACCTTCCTATGAGGCGATTACCACATGTCATGGCTGCGCCATCCATGACCTTCCTATGAGGCGATTACCACATGTCATGGCTGCGCCATTCATGACCTTCCTATGAGGCGATTACCACATGTCATGGCTGCGCCATTCATGACCTTCCTATGAGGCGATTACCACATGTCATGGCTGCGCCATTCATGACCTTCCTATGAGGCGATTACCACATGTCATGGCTGCGCCATCCATGACCTTCCTATGAGGCGATTACCACATGTCATGGCTGCGCCATTCATGACCTTCCTATGAGGCGATTACCACATGTCATGGCTGCGCCATTCATGACCTTCCTATGAGGCGATTACCACATGTCATGGCTGCGCCATTCATGACCTTCCTATGAGGCGATTACCACATGTCATGGCTGCGCCATTCATGACCTTCCTATGAGGCGATTACCACATGTCATGGCTGCGCCATCCATGACCTTCCTATGAGGCGATTACCACATGTCATGGCTGCGCCATTCATGACCTTCCTATGAGGCGATTACCACATGTCATGGCTGCGCCATTCATGACCTTCCTATGAGGCGATTACCACATGTCATGGCTGCGCCATTCATGACCTTCCTATGAGGCGATTACCACATGTCATGGCTGCGCCATTCATGACCTTCCTATGAGGCGATTACCACATGTCATGGCTGCGCCATTCATGACCTTCCTATGAGGCGATTACCACATGTCATGGCTGCGCCATTCATGACCTTCCTATGAGGCGATTACCACATGTCATGGCTGCGCCATTCATGACCTTCCTATGAGGCGATTACCACATGTCATGGCTGCGCCATTCATGACCTTCCTATGAGGCGATTACCACATGTCATGGCTGCGCCATTCATGACCTTCCTATGAGGCGATTACCACATGTCATGGCTGCGCCATTCATGACCTTCCTATGAGGCGATTACCACATGTCATGGCTGCGCCATTCATGACCTTCCTATGAGGCGATTACCACATGTCATGGCTGCGCCATTCATGACCTTCCTATGAGGCGATTACCACATGTCATGGCTGCGCCATTCATGACCTTCCTATGAGGCGATTACCACATGTCATGGCTGCGCCATTCATGACCTTCCTATGAGGCGATTACCACATGTCATGGCTGCGCCATTCATGACCTTCCTATGAGGCGATTACCACATGTCATGGCTGCGCCATTCATGACCTTCCTATGAGGCGATTACCACATGTCATGGCTGCGCCATTCATGACCTTCCTATGAGGCGATTACCACATGTCATGGCTGCGCCATTCATGACCTTCCTATGAGGCGATTACCACATGTCATGGCTGCGCCATTCATGACCTTCCTATGAGGCGATTACCACATGTCATGGCTGCGCCATTCATGACCTTCCTATGAGGCGATTACCACATGTCATGGCTGCGCCATTCATGACCTTCCTATGAGGCGATTACCACATGTCATGGCTGCGCCATTCATGACCTTCCTATGAGGCGATTACCACATGTCATGGCTGCGCCATTCATGACCTTCCTATGAGGCGATTACCACATGTCATGGCTGCGCCATCCCAGCAGCATGCATGGTGGGCATGCTGGTTATGGCCATGCCTGTCTGTCGAGCAGCAGCTAGCTCCTCTCTCAGCCTCTCGTTCTCTGATCGCAGCTGGGCGTTCTCCTGCTCCAGCTGCTCTATGCGTGTCGTTTGCTCAGAGTCCTTTCTGTGACGGTCAGACGGGGGACAGAGCAAAGAAGCAGGGTGACAGGTGGACACGTTCGGGAAGAAGAAATAATAATAAAAAAAGATAAGAAAAAGAGGGAAAAAATGGAGAAAGTTAGGGCTTTGCCATTAGTTAACATTTGCGAAGCTATGACACAGAACCACATTGAACTCCACAGCAGCACTCTTTAACCTTTCAGCACCGCACAGGACTCCACACTTCACCTCACCTGTTCATGAAGCTCTGGAACGTCTTGAGGCTCCAATTCCCCGTTTCAAGTGTTTCGCACTTGCGCTAGAAGCCAGCCACTTCCAACTATGTTGGAATCACTTCCGACTCTCTAACACAGCACAGAACCGCACAGCACCGCACAGCAGAGCTCCTCTTTCTCACCTGTTCATGAAGCTCTGAAACGTCTTGAGGCTCCGGTTCTCCGTTTCAAGAGTCTCACACTTGCGCTTCAAGCTGGCCACATCTGGTGATGCCAATCCAGCACCTGTGACTCCTGCGGTGCGCCCCTTAGCCTCTGCCATTCTGTGTGGGAGAGGCAAGAAGAGGAAAACAAACAAGGGACGGGCGTGGGGGAGGGGGAGGGAGGAGGTGGGGGGCGGTGTAGGGGGGAGGTGGTGGTGTTTGTCCCATGCGTGTGTGCTTGGCCTCACTACAGGGAGTGACGGAAGCAGAGAGAGTGAGGGCGGATGAGGGAGTGAGGAAGGCAGAGAGAGAGCGGGACGCGGAGGGAATGAGAGAGGAGCAAAAAGTGAAGGACTTACTTGCGTTGCCGCTCCACTCTGTGTTGCCGAGAGGAGTCACCAAACGGGGAGTGGCAGGCGGTTGGAGTGAGGCAGGCCGATGGAGTGAGAGAGCCGGTTCTAGCGAGGGACAGCCCGCCGTCACAGGGGTAGTGGTCCAAAGGGCCGGACCCACCCCTCCGTGCCTGCTGTAGCTGCTGCTGTGCTGCTGTGGGACTGTCAGAAGACATGGCACTGGCGCTTCTCTTCACCCCTGCTAGTGCACTAGCAGCACCCCCAGAAACACCAGCGGCAGTGGCAGCAGCACCGGAAAAACCAGCAGCAGCGGCAGCAGCACCAGAGCTATTAGCGGCAGCACCACCAGCAAATCCGGACCCTCCATTCGGGTTCTGACTCGCCTCATATCCAGATTCCGAGTTCAGCAGCCGAGCCTCCCCCAGGGGAGACAGGCTGGCAGGAGTGACGAGTAGACTGGGTGAGGCGAGAGGGCTATCTAGGGAAGGTACATCTGCTGCAGTGGGGGAAGGTGCACCTCGGGAGGGTGCACCTGGGGAGGCTAAATCTGGGGTGGGGTGGAGAAACGAGGGAGGGATGGAGGAGGGGACTTGGACTCTGAGTGATCGGTTGTGCAACCGGTTTCTAACGCCTGAGGGATGGAGAAGGAAGCTGTTGTTGGGAGTCGAATGCTGCTGCTTCTGCTGCTGTTTCTGCTGCTGCTGCTGCGGCTGCTGCTGTATTTGTTGTTGCTGCTGCTGTTGTTGCTGGTGCTGTAGTTGCTGCTGCCACTGCTGCTGCTGCTTCTCGTTATGCTGCTGCCTTCGCGCCTGCATTTCCTGCTCTTGTTGCCATTGCTGTTGCTGTTGCTGCTGCTCCTGTTGATGTTGCTGTTGCGGCTGCTGTTGCTCCTGCACCTGCTGAGTTCCCATTACCTGATACTGCTTCTGCTGTTCCTGCTCCATCTCAAAACTTGACCCCGCCGCCCCAAAGATAGGAGTGCCAGGAGCAGATCCCTGCTCCTTTGCACCGCATCCAACCACTTTGGGAGTACCACCAACCGAGCCTGACCCAGGTATACCACCACCTCCCCCTATGGTAGGAGTAGTAGGGCCGGAACCAGGTAAACCTGTTTGCAAGTTGGTTGGAGTGCCAGGGCGAGATGCTGATCGGCTTATGTTTACAAGGTGAGAGGCCACTGTGCCTTCCGAGGTGCACGGACCTGATGCCGGACCTGATACCGAGCCTCCGGGTGACTGCAGACCCGCCGTTGCTTCCGGAGCACCCGAAGCGGCCGTGCCAGTGGCACCAGAAGCAGCAGCAGCAGCAGGAGGAGGAAGAGGAGCAGCAAGAGCAGCACTATTACTACGACCCCCTCCACTGGAAGACCGACCAATAGCAGGAAACCTAGCATCAGCAGCAGCAGCAGCAGCAGCAGCAGTTGCAGCATCAGCAGCAGAGCAGTTATACCCTTGTGTACCCCCACTGGCGGAACGACCAAGGGCAGGCAGCCTACCACCACCAGCAGCAGCGGCAGCTGCAGCAACAGCAGCTGCAGCGGCAGCGGCAACACCGGGAGGAGGGTTGGAGTGGGAGGCGCGGTGGGAGTGGGTGGTGTGCGGTTGGTGCAGATGGGGATGGTGGAAGGGAGCATCGGAGTGTGAGGGAGTGGGGGTGGGGGAGGCTGAGGAGGGGGAGAGTGGGTTAGAGCGCGGGGTGGTGCTGCTGGTGGGGCTTTGAGCTGCTTTCTTCCCCATGGAGCCTCGTTTGCGAGCTAAGGTGCTGTGGTGGGGAAGGGGAGGGGAAGCAAGGGGGATGGACGGAAGAAAGGGAAAAAATTTAGCCGACTCAAAAGGGGGAGAGAGGGGTGGAAGGGGGTTGGTGCTGCTGGTGAAGCTCTGTGCTGCTTTCTTCCCCATGGAGCCTCGTTTGCGAGCTAAGGTGCTGTGGAAGGGGGACAAGGGAAACGGGAAAGGGGGTAGGTGGTAGTGAACCAAGGGGGAAACGGGGTAAGGAAGCAGAGAAGAGAGGAGACGAGGTGGAAAAAAAAAAACAAACGGGGGTGGGGGGGTGGGGGGGGTGGAGGGGGAGGGGGGGGGCAAAGTGCAGAGGTTAGAGGGAGGAAGATAGAAACGTACCCTTTGAGCAAGCTGACGACTGACGACACGTTTCTTCCTCCATGCGCCATAGCAGCCATCACATTCGCAGGACCACTGCTAAGCGCATTGCCACTCCCAGCCGAACCTGAGTTGGGCATGGGAGGTCCGGCCGCGCCTGCGCTAGCAGCAGGATGAGACCCTTCCGAGCCTGAGGCTGGGTAAGCAGCGGGTTTTGCCGAGCCTGAGGTTGGGAAGGCGGACGGGCTTGCCAGGGCAGATGGGGAGGGTTGGGATGGGGTGTTCGCCTGGGAATGGTAACGCTCCTGTTCCTGCCTCTGCCCCTGCCCCTGCTGCTGCTGCTTCGGAAATTCGTGCTGATTGTGCCCCTCAGTTGTTGCTGCTGATTGCTCTTGAGCTAGTACTGGTGGCCCCTCTTGTTGCTGCCTCACCTGCAGCAGTACTTGCCTCTGTTGCTCCTTCTGGTGCTGTTGTTGTTCCTGCTGTTGCTGCTGCTGCTGCTCCTGCTGCTGATGTTGAGGTTGCCCCTGCTGCTGTTGCTGCGGTTGCCCCTGCGGCTGTGCCTGCCCCTGCGGCTGTGCCTGCCCCTGCTGCTGTGCCTGCCCCTGCTGCTGTGCCTGCCCCTGCGGCTGTGCCTGCCCCTGCTGCTGTGCCTGCCCTTGCCCCTGCTTTTGCTGCTGCACCTGCCCCTGCTGTAGCTGCTGCGCCTCTCCCTGCTGCCCCTGCTGTTGTTGCTGCGCCTGCTGCTGCGCACTCTGATTTCTCCTGTTTTTAGCACCCAGTTTGTGCTGCAGTCGATGAACCAACGACGATGCACTACTCTTCTTCTGCCCCTGCTGCTGCCCCTGCTGCTGCCCCTGTTGCTGCCCCTGTTGCTGTCCCTGCTGCTCACCCTGCTCCTGCCCCTGCTGCCCCCCCTGCAGCTGGTCTCCTACCCCAGGGTTCAACCCTGCTTGCTGATTCACAGGCCCTCCCCGTGCCATCTGCCTTGTCCTCACTCCACTAAGCATCATCCCACCTGCCCCCGATCCTCTCCCCCCTCCCCCTGCGCCAGCCCCCCTGCCTCCAGGGGAAGGCGGAATGGGAGGCTTCGGGGGAGTTCCCCCGAGCTTACCTGCTGCTGATGCCAGTCCATAACTCGCACCAGAAGCACCAGGAGCAGCAGAAACGGGAGCAGCAAAGCCATTACCACCAGCAGTGGCAACAGTAGCAGCAGCAGTGGGATTACCAGCACCACCCGCGGCAGCAGCAGCAACAGCAGCAGCAGCAGCAGCAGCAGCAGCAGCAGGAGGAGGAGGAAGAGGTATCTGGAGGTTTCCCAGGATGGCAGCAGCGAGGGCGGCAGCGGAGGAGGAGAGGGCAGCGAGGTCCACCTGGCCCAGCGGCCCCTGCAGGGCGGCTATGGTGGCCTGCACGTCCGAGGGCGACGCCAGTCGCTGCAGCAGCTCGTCTGTGGAGAGCGGCACGCCCTGGGCATTCACCAGCCGCCTGTGGGGATGGAGGGATAAGGAGTTAAGGATTTAGAGAGCAGCAGACGCTGCAGCAGCTCATCCATGGAGAGCGGCACGCCCTGGGCGCTCACCAGCCGCCTGTGGTAGGGGGTGCGGGCGTGCAGGGAGGGAGGGTTTAGGGTGTTGACTAGCCTGGCTGAAGGCAGCAGCAGCACCACCAGCAGCAGCAGCAGCAGCAGCAGCAGCAGCAGCTCGTCCGTGGAGAGAGGCACGCCCTGGGCGCTCACCAGCCGCCTGTGGGGATGGAGGGGTTTCGGGTTAGGGATTTGCTAGTCTGTGGATAGCGCCACGCCACGCCTTGTGCGCACGCTCACCAGCTGCCTGTGTTGTTGTGGGTAGGGGCGCAGGGAGGGAGGGTTTTAGAGACACCAGCTGCTTCGGGAGTGGAGAGTTGTTGTAGTTCGAGGCTTAAAGTTGGGGTTTAAAGTGGTGGTTAGTTACTCAGACGACGCGAGACACCCCCCCCCCCCCCGAACCTGGCACAATCCAGACCTGGCAACACCTCAGTCCTGGCACTTGCCTAAGTCATGGGACCTACCTAAGTCCTGTCACTTACCTCAGTCCAGGCACTTAAGTCCCAGCACTCACTGGATCTCTTGTGACTTGCTCCTTGTGATGGGTGCCTTGAGCCGCAACAGCCCCTGCAACCAAACAGAGATAGAGAGAGGCAAACGAGCAAATTCTTTAGGCGCCTCAGAAGTTGCCCCTTGTGATGGGTGCCTTGAGCCGCAACAGCCCCTGCAGCCCGATAGAGACAGAGAGGGACAAACGAGCGGAATTTGACACACAGTCTTCAGCTATATATAGCAGAGATGCTCATGAGAAAGTGCATTCTGCAGTGGAGTGCAGCGGAGTGCAGTAGAGTGCAGTGGAGCGCAGTGCAGTGGAGTGCAGTGGCGTGCAGTGGAGTGCAGTGGAGTGCAGTGGAGTGCAGTGGAGTGCAGTGGAGTGCAGTGGAGTGCAGTGGAGTGCAGTGAAGTGCAGTGGAGTGCAGTGGAGTGCAGTGAAGTGCAGTGGAGTGCAGTGGAGTGCAGTGGAGTGCAGTGAAGTGCAGTGGAGTGCAGTGGAGTGCAGTGAAGTGCAGTGGAGTGCAGTGGAGTGCAGTGAAGTGCAGTGGAGTGCAGTGGAGTGCAGTGAAGTGCAGTGGAGTGCAGTGGAGTGCAGTGAAGTGCAGTGGAGTGCAGTGGAGTGCAGTGAAGTGCAGTGGAGTGCAGTGAAGTGCAGTGGAGTGCAGTGAAGTGCAGTGGAGTGCAGTGAAGTGCAGTGGAGTGCAGTGCAACACACTCTTGCCCACGCTGGCTGCTTCACACTCTAGAACGCACAAGAGTGAGATGGGCGCAACATGGACAGGGCTTGCATGGAAACAAGTACATAGCTCTCACAGGAGGTAGGTGGGTAGGCCATACAGAATAGTTGGGCGACTGTTGCTGCTGCTGCTGCTGCTGTTGCTGCTGCTGCTGCTGGTGCTGCTGCTGCTGGTGCTGCTGCTGGTGGTGCTGCTGCTGTTGCTGCTGCTGTTGTTGTTGCTGCTGCGGCTGTTGCTGCTGCTGCTGCTGCGGCGTGCTTAGCCCCATTCTGCAGTTAAGAATCAACAAAAAGTACACCAGAGCGGGTGCACGAAGAGAGTGTTTTCATGAGTTCTCAATTTCTATGAAGCCCATGCCTAGCTGCGTTCTGTGGGTGGGATACAGCAGAGATCACACGGGACAGATGCACCGAGAAGAAGTGCAGTGCTGCTTGTGCGCGTGTGCGTGAGAGGGAAGAGAGGAAGGGGGGGGAAGGGGGAGGGGATGAGCGGGGGAAGGAGGCGGGGGGGGAGTGGGGGAGGACGAGGGGGATTTGCAGCCAGGAGAGGGCAAAAGGGGGCTGGATGTGGAGGTATGGAGGGAGGAACGGAGGGAGAGTAGGAAGACGACCATTGCCCAGTGAAGAGCGTTTAATAAAGTCAAAGTCATTGCACCTGCGCTGTTGAGGAGGTGTTTCTTGCTGTTGGGGAGGCCTCATCTGCTGCTGGGGAGGTGTGAACTGTGTCGATTGCTACGATTGCTGCTGCTGCTGCTGCTGCTGCTGCTGCGGCTGTTGTGGCTGTTGTGGCTGTTGTGGCTGTTGCGGCTGTTGTGGCTGTTGCGGCTGTTGTTGCTGCTGCAGCGACCCTGACCCTACACCCCGGGCCACGTCAAACCCACTCACTGACGGCATGGCAAAGAGAAACGGCTCATTGGTGTCGGTGACTGGACCATCACTCCCTTGCCCCTGCCCTTGGTATTGCTGCCCCTGCTGCTGCTGCCCCTGTCCCTGCTGCTGCTGTTCTGGCAGCAGCCGTTGCTGCAACTGCTGCCGAGAGGTGGGACGGGGGAGGTTCACTGGAAGAAAAGGACGAGGCGGCAGGGCTTGTATTGGGGAGTTGGCTATCTGCGGGACAACGGGAAGAAGAAATGGAAATACATACATTTGATGCTGCTGCTGCTGGGCCTCAGTAAAAACCTATGTATCAGTAGTATAAAAACTTTTAAAATATACATTTCACGACTTTGAAGAAGAAGACAAAAAAGGGGTTTTTCAGGACCAGTAGTTTCTTGCAGGGACTTACATCAGCGGATAGCCAGCTCTGGAAGAGCTCCTCGCTGTTGAGACGGCTGAGCTTCGGTGAAGGGTACACCGCTGCAGCTGACAGCCCTGCTCTTCCTCCCATGCCTGCTCCTCCTGCCGTGCCTGCCGCTGCAGTGCCTGCTCCTCGTCCTGCTGCTGCTCCCCATACGTTTATAGCCGGAAAGGGCAAGGGCGAACCCATGCCTGCTTCCCCCTTCCCTTCTCCCCCCGCCGCCCCAGTTCCCGCCTGGGTTCCCAGCCTCGCACCCCCTTGCTCTCCAGTCCCAAAGCTTAACGGGGAAGAGCCGTCTGCGCTGCTAGCGGCACCAGCAGCACCAGTGCCAGCGGCAGAATCAGCAGCGGAAGCAGCAGCGGCACCAGCAGCACCGCCATCAGCGGTGAGTCCAGCAGCCGCGGTGCTGTCTAGGAACGAACGGACGAAGAGGTCTTCCGGGGACATGGAGGCTGAAGGATCTCCCGATGCTGCACAGAATGGGAGCATGCAGTGAGGGAGAAACTACTGTTTTGTTCGGAAGGCGGTATAATGCCGATGCTAGACTAAGTGGAGAAACTGAAAACAGTACGGGAAATGCGGGGTTGAAGTTCGTGAAATTGACCCTCTCATTTATTTTTCTGCAAGTCATTTTCAATGCGCAAGCACAAAGAGAACACCAACAAGAACCAAGGAGAACTAAGATAAGGCTGCGTAGATAAGGAGACTCGGTGGACACTAACGCGCGTTGCTCGAGCTCTCTCACCGTTATTGACGGCTCCACAGTTACCGACAGCCATGGCGCGAGCCTGGAGCTCGGTGGAGATGCTTCGCGTGATACGGCGGTTCGACAGGTCCATTATTCAATGGTGCTCCCAGGCGTGCAAAGTCCGACTATACCAGATGCAAAATCATAAATATCTTTTAGCCAACTCGAAAGTTACTGCGGTTCGACAGCTTGATTTTCTAATCGTGCTGCGAGGCTTGCTAAGCCGGACAAAACTCGAAAGAAAATCAAAAGAGTTAGCACCAGTCGAACCAGAACAGGGGTTTTTTAATAAGAGCAATGCGGTACATTCGGACATAAGTAAACGTCGACGCTAGTGGCGCTCCGTTATGGACTGGAGCGATTAGGGATAAATAGTGGCGCTTTAGTACTAGAAGCGAACACACAGAACACACCCTTGCACCTTCTTGAACACGACGGCCTAAAGAGTGTGAGGGCCAACCGTCAACTGTGGGAAACCTAAACTATTAATGAACGATACCTCCTGGACCACCAGCTTCTAGAAGTCACGGTTCCAACCTAGAAATTAGTTTCGGCAAGGCAAGAACTCCAGTCTCTAGAAAATGAAGATATTCACAACCCTAGAAATTGGAATTTCGAAGCTGGCCTTGTCCAGTGGCCCAGTGACTGGCGGCGGCGGTTGTTCCCGCGCGATTCTTTCGTCCAACATCGAAACCGTGTTGTCCTTTTTTCGCCATTGGAAAAGGAAGGAGCTTTTGTACTGTATGGTTTCGCCTGCCCAACAGTGTGCATCGCAATGATGCAAAATCCCTCTTTGCCCCGGATAAGGGCGTGTTACATTTTCTCCTTTTGCCAGTCCGGACGGGCCATCGTCCGGACATTTGAGTGGTTACCAATTTCGTGTAGATTCGCTAAACGCTTCGTTAGAACCCATGCGACGCCGTTAACGTTCGGACCGTTGATGGAACATTTTGCATTAATTGCCCTCCCAAATCGTCCGGACGTGTACCGTTTGATAAACGGACGGACGTAACAGTAACGCGTTTACACTGGCCGACGAAGAAGACTCTGCGAGTCGCTTGAATGTTACCTATCTCGTTACGGTGTCGTTGTCCTGGTTACAGGCTCGCTAGTATTCTAATTTTCGTAAGTGTGAAAAAGTGTCATGAACAACGTCCGGACGAGGCTCAGTCTGGACGTTGGACTCGGACCGTCCGATATTCGGTATCCGAACCGTTCTCAGACGGTTGTCCAGACCTTACCTCTTTTAGAAAATGTAACACGCCCTAAGACAGCCTTGTACTCGGCCGAACCTGACGGAAAATCGAGGCTCGTGGAGGACCCAATATCGAACCTCCACCACACTGTAACTACGGTCATCGTCTCTACATCCTACATCCACGTTTTTATACCTTATACATCCTACTGTAAATCGTCTCTACATCGTCAACGCTATCTAACATACTATTGCTTACCCCAACACGATAATACAGAAATATATCTTATACCGCCTCTCTGCAAGTCCATATTTTGTTTTATACTTTTATGTTCCTTGACCTCGTTGACATTAGTCCCGAGATCGATCTACCCTAATCCTCTCTGTGAAACATTCGATCTATTCTAGCATTACTGCTGATTCACAATTTTTTCCTTTCGCACACAACCTTCACATACGGCCTGAGGTTTCATAATCCTTTCAGCCAAATGGGACATCCTTCAGTCAGCTTTGGTTACTAGATTTTACACATGCAAAGTGGATACTATACTAGGAGTTTACATTCGATTCATTATATACAAAAGGGACACATACCTCAACCCTCCTGGGAACCAGTTTGAATGCTACTTTCCAAAAAACACCCATACCTCAACCCTCATCACTCCGCTCCCACCATCGCACTCCCCCCACCATCCTCCCTATCCTCTTCCACATTCATACCCGTACCACCATCCAAACCTCCCACTTCCATTCCCAAACCTCCAGCAACAAGAGAAGGGAGCCCCCAAATGCGCACAGTGCCATCGTCCGAGGCTGTAGCAAACAGGTGTGGCCGGGTGGCCGGCCAGGAGACGGCGTTTACCGTCCCGGAGTGCCCTGGAAGCACCTCCATAACCTCGCCAGTATCGCGATGCCACATGTACACCTACACATGGCAAACCCTAGCATTAGCAATGTTAACCCAAGTAGAAAACAGGGGGGGAATGGGGGGCCCAGGGGGAGGGGTGGAGAAGTTGCTCCTACTCCTCAGAACCAGGGAGGCACAAGGGGGGGTGGTAAAGCGAGTGCATCTGGCATGGCTAGGAGGATGGTGGTGCACCTCATTGCTTACCTAAACGGAGTTACTTACTTGAGCATCCTCGCTACCGCTGATGATGAATCGCTGATCATGGCCTCCAAAGCAGGAGCGAATCACAAAGCGGCCTTGCACCTGAGCAGGATTGTGAAAAGTGAATTTCACAAGGAAGGCAAGGTAATGATCTTATAATGAACAGTGAATGTCTCTGCATAATGGGATGACTGAGCATAGAGGGTCGACCGTGCATAGGGTACATGCTTCCAGGAAAACCGGTACTCAATAAGAAGGCACAAGGGCATAAGGGTGTCTGGTTCCACAAGCTACCCTGACAGCTCAAAAACCTGCTGGACAAGCGTTATGCTGCCCTAAAAATACAAATAAAACAATTTACCTGCCCGCTGTAGGAAAACGCTGGCTTGTCAGGAGGTTTGGCAGCACATATGTCCTGAATGCACCAGAGATGAATGTCGCCCGATGATAGATTCACCAACACCCATCTGGTTGATTTGGGTGGAGAAGAGGAAGGGAAGGGGAGTGAAAGTGTTGAAACAGTTGCTGTGAGGAGGCTTGGCAGCACATATGTCCTGAATGCACCAGAGATGAATGTCGCCTGATGATAGATTCACCAACACCCACCTGGTTGTTTCGGGGAAAGAGTGGGGAGGAAGGGGAGTGAAAGCACAGATGTGAGGAGGTTTGGAAGCACAGATGTCCCGAATGCACCAGAGATGAATGTCGCCTGATGATAGATTCACCAACACCCACCTGGTTGTTTGCGGCGAGAGTGGGGGGGAGGGGGAAGGGTTGGGGGGAGCGGGGGAGAGAAAGGTGGGAAAGAGAGTGAAAAGCATTGCGACATGTGATGTCTAAAGGCAGGCTTGACGACTACATGTCTCCTTCAGCTTGTCGGTGGACGACTACATGTCTCCTTTTGAAGTACAGCTCTCACCTGCCGTCCACCGACAAGCTGAGGGAGGTGATTGACTTGGTCTCCTTCACCACGAGGGGGCTACCTTAAAAAACCTTTACGCACACAATTGTGTCAGAGAAAAACGCACTCACCTGCCGTCCACGGACAAGCTGAGGGAGGTGATGGACTTGGTCTCCTTGACCACATGTGCTAGGTAAGGCAGGTGTCACCACCGCCATCAATACTGCATTATCACATCATACACTCTCACCTGCCGTCCACAGACATGCTGAGGGAGGTGATTGACTTGGTCTCCTTCACCACGTGCTCCTTTCCCGATGGCAGCTCGTGAACTCGAATCTCCTTCTCGTTGCACACTGATACCTGGGGGGGAAGGATAACAGGAGAATAGGGAGAAAGAAGTGGGGAGGGGAGCGCAAGAGAGCAGAGTGGGATCATGTAACGTGGAAATCTGTTTCTGAGAGAAGCTTGCGCACTCGAATGTCCTTCTCGTTGCACACTGACACCTGGGTGGAGGAAGCAGGAGGAAAGAGTATAGAAGGATCGGAGACCAAGAGAGGGGACTAGGATCGTTCAAGAGGAAGTTTTTTTCCCGATGGCAGCTTATGCACCCGAATCTCCTTCTCGTTGCACACTGACACCTGCGGAGGAGAGGAAGGAGGGGAGAGTGGGGGGGAGAGGAGGGGAAGAGAGCGGACGGACTAACAAGAACCAGAGGGCAGCTCGTGCACTCAAATCTCCTTCTCGTTGCGCGCGCGTGCACATACACACACAGACAGAACCAAGCGCACATGCATTGATGCCCGCACGCACCACATGGGAGCAGTCGGAGCTGACAGCAAGGTCGTTGATTCGAGGGAAATCGCCCCCGTCCTGCTGCCACAGGTGCCGCCCCACCCCATTTTGGTGGAATGTGGTGGAGTGCAGAGGAGAGTGGGCGAGTGCGGTGGAGTGCGGTGGAGTGTGGTGGGAGTCCTCACCACATGGGAGCAGTCGGAGCTGATAGCAAGGTCGTTGATTCGAGGGAAATCACCCCCATCCTGCTGCCACAGGTGCCGCCCCACCCCTCCCCACGAGGGCAGCTCACTTCCCTCCACGTCCCACACACACACTGTGCGATCGGTCGCCGCAGATGCTGACAAGAAACGCCGCCCGCAGGGGAACCAGGCACAGGCGGAAATGGCCTGGGACAGGGATGGACGGGTGAAGAAGGTGGGGAGGGAGAGGAAGGGGGGGTGGGGTTAAGTGCGGGGCATTGGTGGAGTGTGGTGGAGTGTGGTGGAAATCACCCCCATCCTGCTGCCACAGGTGCCGCCCCACCCCTCCCCATGATGGCAGCTCACTCCCCTCCACGTCCCACACACACACTGTGCGATCCGTCGCCGCAGATGCTGACAAGAACCGCCGCCCACAGGGAAACCACGCACATGCGGAAATGGCCTGGGAGAGGGATGGACGAGTGAAGGAGGCAGGGAAGGAGCGAGGGGGAAGGGCGAGGGAAATGTTGAGGGGAGAAGGGAGCACGATAGTGTGAGGTGGAGTGAGGCTGAGTGTGGTGAAAGTGTGGTGGAGTGGGATGGATGTGGTGGAGTGGATAGGAGCAGGAGGAGAAGAAGGGTTGGTAATCCAATGGCCGAGTTAAGTTGCCCCTTGCCCAAGCTAGCCTCTTGCAGGAAATAACCTCGGCCAAGCAAGCAGCAATCACCTTGTGGTGCTTGGAGAAGGAGCGGAGCAGGCGGGCAGAGGCAGAGAGGGAGGGAGGGAGGGAGGGAGGGAGGGAGGGAGGGAGGGAGGGAGGGAGGGAGGGAGGGAGGGAGGGAGGGAGGGAGGGAGGGAGAGAGGGAGCGAGGGAGGGAGGGAGTGAGGGAGGGAGGGAGGGAGGGAGGGAGGGAGGGAGGGAGAGAGGGAGGGAGAGAGGGAGGGAGGGAGGGAGGGAGGGAGAGAGGGAGGGAGAGAGGGAGGGAGAGAGGGAGGGATGGAGGGAGGGAGGGAGGGAGAGAGGGAGGGATGGAGGGAGGGAGGGAGGGAGAGAGGGAGGGATGGAGGGAGGGAGGGAGGGGCCCGACAAGATCACAGTCCCAGCCAGGTTACCAGCAACAATGCACATCGTGGTGCTTGCAGAAGGAGCGGGGCAGGCGGCCAGTGGAGATTGGGGAGTGAGGGAGGCAGCACGCAAGGAGCGGGAAGAGGGACGGACGCACGCAGGCAGGCAGGGAGGCAGGCAGGGAGCAGCATTGATGACGTGGTGTTTGGAGAGGAGCGGAGCAGGCGGGCAGGCGCAGAGAGGGAGCAGGGGAGGAAATGGCCTGGCAAGATCACAACCCCCATTTTCGAGCAGCAATCACGTCGTGGTGTTTGGTTAAGGAGCGGAGCAGGTGACCAGTGGTCGCATCCCACAGGCATACGAAGGGGTCTTTGCCGGCTGTGCGGGAGGCAGGAAGTGGCCTGATAGGCTCACAACAAAGGCAGCAACTCACGTCGTGGTGTTTGGAGAAGGAGCGCAGCAATCGGCCAGTGGCAGCATCCCAGAGGCACACGAAGGGGTCGTTGCCGGCTGTGAGCAGCAGCGAGTCGTCTGGACTCCACGCCACGTAGGAGAGCGGGAGAGAATGGCCGGCGAGTGTGTGCAGGCGACGGTGGGAGAAGCTGTCAACAATCTGTGTCGGAAAAGGTTCAATGGAGGGAGGGATGGAAGCAGTAGGGTGTGAGTGGCAGCGAGTCGTCTGGGCTCCATGCCACGTAGGAGAGCCGGAGAGAATGACCCGCGAGTGTGTGCAGGCGCCGGTGGGAGAAACTGTCAACGATCTGCGGCAGGGAAGGGTAACGACAGCAAAAAGGGCGGGTAAGGGGAGGGTAAGGGTAGAAAGGAAGAGGGTCAGTAAGCTAGAGTGGATTGGAGGAGAGGGGGGGAGTGGTAAAATGTGCTCTGATCAATCTAGCACTGCCCCCCTGCCTATGCGCTTCTTAAAGGCGGACGGGCATTGGTAGATTGATCAGAGCACATTTTATCACAGCGGTGTGGTCCTTAGAGGCGGTGTGGTCGGTGGCCAGCCTGGTGCTGCCGTGGGAGATGGGGGGAATCAATCTTATGAGCCACAGCGGTGCGATTCAATGCGGTTCAGTGCGGTGGGGGAAGGTAAAGAAGCAGGCCTCACCTGCCAGACAACAGCCGTGTGGTCTTTAGAAGCAGTGGCGAGCATGGTGCCGTCGTGAGAGATGAGAGGAGTCGTTCTTGACAGCTCAGTGTGCTGGAGTGCGATTCAGTGTGGTGCGGGTAGGTAAAGCAGCAGGTCTCACCTGCCACACCACAGCCGTGTGGTCCTTAGAGGCAGTGGCGAGCCTGGTGCCGTTGTGGGAGACGAGAGGAGTTGCTCTCCACAGTATGCTTGAGTGCGGTTCAGTGCGGTGGGGGAAGGTGGGGAAGTAAGCCTCACCTGCCAGACGACAGCCGTGTGGTCTTTAGAGGCAGTAGCAAGCCTGGTGCCATCGTGGGAGAACTGCACACACCACACCTCGTCGCTGTGCTGCTCCAGGACCTGTGAGGAGGGGGAAAGGGGGGAAGAGAAGAGAGGGTGGGGAGGGGGAGGAAAAATGCGCAACGAGAGCAGAGTGTCAACAGGAGCTGCACGCACAACACCCCGTCGCTGTGCTTCTCCGCCAGCACCTGAGGGGTGGAGAGGAAGGGGAGAAGTGGGTGAGGCAAAGCTGGGGGGGAGAGAGAAAACAGAGAGTTAAAAGTGGGAAATGGTGAGCTGTTACTATCACCCCTCCACTAAAGTGGTATTGATGAAACTACAACCCTACCTAAGTGGTAACACTGGTTACACACCTACCTGAGTGGTAACACTGACTACACCCCTACCTGAGTGGTAACCGTGGGAATCATTTCCCGCCCGCACGAATGGTCCGTGAACAGTGTCAGCGCCTCGTCAGCCACGTTGTGGTAGTGGCACCGCTCTCGACCCATCTCCACCGTACTCTCTATAAGCTGCTCCAATCTCCGATCAGGAACCATCACTGACGCCGGCAGCAGAGCCTGTACCGCTTTCAGAACCGAGCCTCGGGATTCCGAACCTGTCCCGGGCCAGCCGGACCGAGCCTTGAGGTCCTCAGGTCCGGCACACAGGAGCCAGCCCGCCAGCTGGTGCAGCCGCTTCGGATCCGAAGCTGTGGGCCCGAGCCTGCCTCGGAGGGTCGTCAGGGCTTCCCGAACCTCCCCAGCTTCGACAAGCTCGAGAAATTTCTGCTCCAGAAGGAGGAATTCGGCGTGCCGAAGCAAAGATGGGCCCAAGCCTTGTAGGTTTGACAAAATTGCGACGCTCTCCTCCCATTGGCCAGCCATAATAGATTGCCGAAGCTGCGCTACAGGCTTGGATTCCAGAGCTACGCCCGATTCCGCTTCCAGTTGCGCCGCTATCGAATGATACCCTAGCGAACGCAGCGATTGCTCTACAAGGCGGATAAACTCCACCGTGCGAATCTGACCCTTGGATCCGAGCCGGTCGCGATCAGACGGCTGGTAACTCCTCCCTACTTGCTCTTCTCCTGCAGAATCCGCAGCACCGCCCCCTGGCCCCATCCCCATCGAAAGGGTTGCAAATCGACCAATCGTGGCGTGACAGATGGCAGCAGCTCCGGCGGGGTGATCCTCGGAAGATTTCCCTGGAATCGCGGCGGCAGATGCGCAGAACGAGCACGAATCAGAGCCGCGGGCGGACGCGGCGGACTCGTGGTCGTGATACGGGCAGGAGAGCCTGGCGCGCTTCGATGATGGCTCGGCAGCACTGCCGTCGAGCGTAGCGGCTGCCGCGACACGACTACTGGCAGGGTGAACAGCGCGACGAGCGGCGGGGGCGGCGGCGGCGGCAGCGACTGTGGTGGTGCTGGTGGAGGGTGCGGCAGTTGCGGTTACTGCGGAGATAGGTGAAACCAAGGATTCTACGTCAGGGTTCGGAACGTGACTGCTAGAGGAGGGATTGCTGTCGGACCGCAGATCACCTTCACTGCCCATGAACAGGCAATCCTGGCCGTTGATTTAGACGGGCGCTATTTGAAAGCAAGCAGACTTACATGCAGATCCAAGCGGACTCGGCGTTCTAAGGGCGCATTCCCGACCTCGTGTCATCCGGTGTTGGTGTCATCCGAAAATATTGGAACGCACGTGATTGGCCCGTTGTGATTTTTGGGCCAATCGTGTGAGTTCCAAAGTTTTCGGACATACCAACACCGGATGACACGAGGTCGGGAATGAGCCCTAACCACTGGATGTCCTATCATACCTGACTACTAGAGCTTTGCTGCTGTTTATTATGGACGAAATTCCACTTTGGATGTGTATGTGCACCGCCGATAACTCGAGTCAGAACTATATCATTCTTACCGAGGATTCTAAAAGCGGATACATGGAATGTTTCGCCAAATGCGGTCGGAATGGTTACCATTCAACGAAAAATACAGGTCAGCGTCGAGCCAGCTTGCGAATGGAAACAACACAGCTTGCAGTTACCTCGTGTCCCTTTGCGAAATGGCATTCAGCTAAACTCAGCTTGCGTGGCAGTTCGTGGGTTTCTGTGTGGTTGGGGGACCAGCCTCGGCACGCTGAGCTGGCGAAATTCTAGGGAGGCCTCGAACCAGAACAACCAGCCTCGTAAATTTGCGAACGCGGCTCCAGATGAACCCGACTCGGCTAAAATGTTCCTCCAAGAAATCGCATTCAATTTCAACAGCACATTCAATTCAACACAACCACTCCACATGGTAGTTCTTGCCCAGACTAGCAATCTTGCATGCAAGTAGGCTGCTTGGTGCTGCTGCTGCTTTAGGCAGTCCTGTCCGATTCGTCGGTTCATCTCGTTGACTCCGTGTCTTCGCAAGAATTTCCTCTTCTCCATATGGTTTTGACGCAGAATCGTGTGCGTGGAGGTAGTAGAGGCGTAATTATGAAGACGAGTTTGTTGCCACGTGTTTTTCTATTTTGGCTGGTCTCAACGCTTCAATGGCCGGCACATTCGAGCGCTTTGAGGATGGGTAGTAGTCTGCGTACAAAAAGCTACATTCAGGCTCCTGTTTCAGCATGCCCAGCCACTCCGTTAGCAGACTGCGACTTCTTCTTTCAAGGAACCAGAAATTCAGTTCCCACATTCCAGTAAGCTTGATTTTCCCTTTGAAGTATGTTATACTGTCATTTCTACCTATTCCCACAAACTATTGTTCTGTTCCCCATCCCATAGGCTTCCTGGCGTCCTGGATGGTCAAGTGACGGCAACTCCTATAGTTGACAAGTACGGCAATGTTCTCGAATCAGCCAATAGCGGGGACAACACACTCTTCTGCATCTCTCCTCGGTTCGTCCAATCCTACACCTCCAACCAGTTCTACATCACGGGAACTCCTCCAACCCTGCGAATGCGTGAAATTGCCGCTCCATTCACCCGCGTTCCCTTTGAAAACATCTGCGCAGTTCTCACTCTCACATCTGCAGCTATTCCAGAGAACGGTACTGTTCTGAACATCAATTCAGGGGACGAGAACCAGAGGGTGTATCCTGATGCTCGGCGCTGCATTGCATTTAAAACGTGACCCAAGGGACCCAGTGGTTCATGCGCTGGCAATGTGACTCAGGCGCCAGTTTCAGCACCCAGCACTGCCCCCGTGCCTGCTCCCAGCCCTGGGCCCATGCCTGCTCCCAGCCCTGCCCCCGTGCCTGCTCCCAGCCCTGCCCCCATGCCTGCCCCCAGCCCTGCCCCCGTGCCTGCTCCCAGCCCTGCCCCCGTGCCTGCTCCCAGCCCTGCCCCCGTCCCTGCTCCCAGTCCTGCTCCTGTGCCTGCTCCCAGCCCTGTTCCCGTGCCTGCTCCCAGCCCTACCCCCGTCCCTGCTCCCAGTCCTGCTCCCGTGCCTGCTCCAAGCCCTGCCCCTGGACCTGCATTCAGCTCAGCACCTGTACCTGCTCCCGAACCAGCACCCATGTCTGGTCTTGCACCCAGCCCTGCTGCCGTGCCAATTCCCGGCCCTGCTCCCGTGCCTCTTCCCGGCCCTGCGCCTGTGCCGGCACCAGGCCCTGCTCCAGGCCCTCCCCCTTCACCTGTACCTTCACAACCATCTCCACCACCCCCCTCACCTCCACCCCCTTCTCCACCCCCTTCTCCACCACCTCCTCCACCACCACCACCACCCCCGTCACCTCCGCCACCCCCCCCACCAGCACAATGATCCGGGATCCACGTGTTAAAAGTAATGTTTTGAGATGTCGCAAAACCCCCTTCTCCACGCCCTCCTCCTCCACCACCTCCGCCACCTCCGCCATCTTCGCGACCAGCTCAATGATTTGTGAACCATCCTTTTTAGTGCATATGTTGGAAAGTAGTTGTGATGATTGGGCTGTATGTTGTGTATGAAAGGAGATATGTCATTAGAGAGAAATGCCCAAACTAAATCTCTGCACTGTACTGAATAAAAAACGGCTCACAGCAGGAAAATCACATATAAGTTATGTGGCTCACTACGTCTGCGTCTGCCATTTCTTCATTTTTTACCGTACTTTTTCCATGCCCAGCTGCCCGTTCAGCATAACCTTTGGTGGCATTGTTTTGTGGTTTGACGGAACAAGCAAAAGAAAACCTTGCGGAAAATTGCCGAAGCTTTTGATTTGGCGAAACAAATGCTGCCTGTCGTTCCTTAACCGTCTCCCGCCTTGTCCCAATCTTCCCTTCCATTTACTGTACCTTCTGAACAAAAGCGCGGAGCTCCGCGCGCCATGATCTCCGCGCGCGCTCGCTAACGTCCGGAAGAGGAGAGGAAGAACGGTACCAAACCGATGCTTGGCAGCAACCCGTCTGACAGTTCAGAGAGAGCTGGTCAGAAAGATGAGTGACAGTTTAAACGCCATTTACCGTCTGAATTGAAGTGCGGAGCTCCGTGCTTTGGGAGCCACAGAAGCCAGCCTAGTGACACCGTGGGAGATAAAAGGAGTCGGTCTTGAGAGCCACAGTGTGTATGAGTGCGATCCAGTGCAATGAAGTGCGGTTCAGTGCGATTCAATGTGCTTGAGTGCGCTGGGAAGCGTGAAGTCGCAAGACTCACCTGCCAGACGACAGCGGCGTGGTCCTTATGTTAGGGTTGGTTCGCCCAACCACGGAACCTACGGCGAAAGCTTCTACGACGGCGGAATGACGGCGAAATGGAAGCACGTGGATGATTCTAGGTGAAACGGCGGAAATCGGCCTACGGTGGAGAATGGAAGCTACGGCGTGAGAAGAGAGAAATTGGGAAGAAACTAGAGAAATGGAGGAAGAAGAGTGAAGAAGTATCAAGATTGGAGTTGACAAGGGGAAATTGTGGTTCGAGACTGAGGCGTGTTCGAGAAGGTGCTGGATTCGGACTCGAGGAGTGTTCGGCGAATTCGGTTCGGTTCCGTGTGCGACTCGGGGTGAAACGAGGCGCACGCGGTTACTTGGGAAACAAGTGAAGTTACGAATCGCATTTTGTGTCTTGCTTGACTATAAAACTGCTTGTACTCATTCTGAAAATCACAACATTGGACAACATTGATCAGTTGGTGATTCTGAAAATTGCTGAAGTGTGTATTGACAACTTCAAGCAGAGCTGCGCATATCGTTGGATTTGGGAGATCGTGGAGAACACGATAAGCAATAGCAAGTAGACTATTGCCGACTAAGGTGTTTACGATCCTAAGACCTTAGAGGGAGTGGCCAGCCTGGTGCCGTCGTGGGAGATGAGAGGAGACGATCTTGACAGCTCAGTGTGTTTAAGTGCGATTCAGTATGCTGGAATGTGGTTCAGTATGCTGGAGTGCGGTTCAGTATGCTGGAGTGCGGTTCAGTATGCTGGAGTGCGGTTCAATGTGGTGAAGGAAGGTAGGGAAGCAAGCATCGCCTGCCACACCACAGCCGTGTGGTCCTTGGAGGAAGTGGCGAGCCTGGTGCCATCGTGGGAGAACTGCACGCACCACACCCCGTCGCTGTGCTGCTCCAACACCTGGTGGGCGGGGGGGGTGTGAGATAAAAGTGGGAAAGAATGAGTTGCTGTAATCACACCTCTACGGAAGTGTTTATGATGACGTTACACCCCTAACTGGGTGGTAACACTGAACTGATTACAACACCCCTCCCTGAGCGGTAACACAAGTAAACCGTTGGAATTATTTCCCCAATTACACCCCTACATGAGTGGTAACACTAATTACACCCCTACCTGAGTGGTAACAATAATTACACCCCTACCTGAGTGGTAACAATAATTACACCCCTACCTGAGTGGTAACACTAATTACACCCGTACCTGAGTGGTAACCGTTGGAATCATTTCCCGCCCACACGAATGGTCCGTGAACAGTGTCAACGCCTCGTCAGCCACGTTGTGGTAGTGGCACCGCTCTCGACCCATCTCTACCGTACTCTCTATAAGCTGCTCCAATCTGCGATCAGGAACCATCACTGACGCCGGCAGCAGTGCCTGTACCGACTTCAGAACCGAGCCTCGGGATTCCGAACCTGTCCCGGGCCAGCCGGACCGAGCCTTGAGGTCCTCAGGTCCGGCGCACAGAAGCCAGCCCGCCAGTTGGTGCAACCGCTTCGGATCCGAGGCTGTGGGCCCGAGCCTGCCTCGAAGGGTCGTCAGGGCTTCCCGAACCTCCCCAGCTTCGACAAGCTCGAGGAATTTCTGCTCCAGGAGAAGGAATTCGGCGTGCCGAAGCAAAGATGGATCCAAACCTTGTAGGTTCGACAAAATTGCGACGCTCTCCTCCCATTGGCCAGCCATAATTGCTTGCCGAAGCTGCGCTACAGGCTTGGATTCCAGAACTACGCCCGATTCCGCTTCCAGTTGGGCCGCTATCGAATCATACCCTAAGGAACGCAGCGAAAACTCCACTGTGCGAACCTGACCCTTGGATCCGAGCCGATCGCGATCGGACGGCTGGTAACTCCTCTCTACTTGCCCCCCTCCTGCAGAGTCCGCAGCACCATCCCCTGGCCCCATCCCCATGGAAAGGGTCGCAAATCGACCAATCGTGGCGTGACAAATGGCAGTGGCCCCTGCGGGGTGATCCCCAGAAAGATTCCCCAGAGTAGCGGCGGCAGATGCGCAAAACGAGCACGAATCGGAGCCGCGGGCGGACGCAGCAGAGTCGTGCTCGTGATACGGGCAGGAGAGCTTGGCGCGCTTCGATGATGGCTCGGCGGCACTAACGTCGAGCGAAGCGGCTGCCGCGACACGACTACTGGCAGGGTGACCAGCGCGACGAGCGGCGCGGGCGGCGGCGGCGGCAGCGGCTGTGGTGGTGCTGGTGGAGGGTGCGGCAGTTGCGGTTACTGCGGAGATAGGTGAAACCAACGATTCTACGTTAGGGTTCGGAACGTGACTGCTAGAGGAGGGATTGCTGTCGGACCGCAGATCGCCTTCACTGCCCATGAAAAGGCAATCCTGGCCGCTGATTTGGACGGGCGCTATTTGAAAGCAAGCAGACTTATATGCAGATCCAAGCGGACTCGGCGTACTAACATAATGGATATCCTAACATACCTGAGTACTAGAGCTTTGCTGCTCTCCATGATGGACGGAATTCCACCTTGGATGTGTATTTGCACCGCTGATAACTCGAGTCGGAACCATATAATCCTTACTGAGGATTCTAAAAGCGGAGACGTGGTATTTTCCGCCAAAGGCCTTCGAGATGGTTACCATTCAACGAAAAATGCAGGTCAGCGTCGAGCCAGCTTGCGAATGGAAACAACACAGCTGGCAATTACCTCGTGCCATTTTCGGAAAAGCCATTCAGCTAAACTCAGCTTGCGTGGCAGTTCGTGGGTTTCTGCGTGGGTGGGGACCAGCTTCGGCTGGCTGAGCTGGAGAAATTCCAGCGAGGCCTCGAACCACGACAACCAGCCTCGTAAAATTTTGAATGCGGCTCCAGATGAAGCCGACTCGGACAAAATCTGCCTCCAAGAAATCGCATTCAATTTCAACACCACCACCACTCCGCATAGTTCTTGCCTGGACTGATAGCAATCTTGGCATCTGCAAGTAGGTTGCTTGATACTGCTGCTGCTTTAGGCAGTCCTGTCCGTTCGTCGGTTCATTTCGCCGACTCTGTGTTTTTTCAAAGAATATCCTCTTATTCATATGGTTTTGACGCAGAATCGTGTGCGTGGGGGTAGTAGAGGCGTGATCATGACGACTAGTTTGTTGCCTCGTTTTTTTCTGTTTTGGCTGGTGTCAACGCTTCAACGGCCAGCGCATTCGAGCGCTTTGAGGATGGGAAGTAGTCTGCGTACGAAAAGCTACATGCATGCTTCAAGGAGGCTGCAGCAGGCTCCCGTTTCAGCATGTCCAGCCACTCCTCTTGCAGATTGCGACTTCTTCTTTCAAGGAAACAAACATTTTGTTCCCATTTTCCAGTAAGCATTATTTTATATTTTCTAATTTTCTGTATCTTTTCCTACTTTTTTCTCTAATATATTCAAAATATATATCATTTTATTCCCCTTTTCCATAGGCTTCCTAGCGTCCCCGATGGTCAAGTGACGGCCACTCCAATCGTAGACAAGTACGGCAACGTTCTCGAATCAGCCAATAGCGGGGACAACACACTCTTCTGCATATCTCCTCGTTTCGTCCAGTCCTACACCTCCAACCAGTTCTACATCACCGGAAACCCCCCGACCCTGCGAATGCGCGGCATCAATGCCCCTTTCACCCGCGCAGCCTTCGAGAATATCTGCGCAGTTCTCGCACTCACATCTGCGGCTATTCCAGAAAATGGTACTGTTCTGAACCTCAATCCGGGGGATGAGAACCAGAGGGCTTATCCTGACGCGTGCCGCTGCATTGCGTTCAAAACGGGACCGAAAGGACCCAGTGGTTCATGCGCTGGCAATGTGACTCAGGCGCCAGTTTCAGCACCCAGCCCTGCCCCCGTGCTTGCTCCCAGCCCTGCCCCTGTGCCTGCTCCCAGCCCTGCACCCGTGCCTGCTCCCAGCCCTGCCCCCGTGCCTGCTCCCAGCCCTGCCCCCGTGCCTGCTCCCATCCCTGCCCCCGTGCCTGCTCCCATCCCTGCCCCCGTGCCTGCTCCCAGCCCTGCCCCCGTGCCTGCTCCCAGCCCTGCCCCCGTGCCTGCTCCCAGCCCTGCTCCCGTGCCCGCTCCCAGCCCTGCTCCCGTGCCTGCTCCCAGCCCTGCCCCCGTGCCTGCTCCCAGCCCTGCCCCCGTGCCTGCTCCCAGCCCTGTCCCCGTACCTGCACCTAGCCCTGCCCCAGTCCCTGCTCCCGGACCGGCACCCATGTCTGGTCTGGCACCCAGCCCTGCCCCGGTGCCTGCTCCCAGCCCTGCACCTGTGCCTGCACCAGGCCCTGCTCCAGTCCCAGCACCTCCTCCACCCCCCCCTTCACCTGTTCCTTCGCAACCGTCTCCACCACCCCCTTCACCTCCACCTCCTCCACCTCCCCCTTCACCTGTTCCTTCACAGCCATCTCCACCACCCCCTTCACCTCCACCACCTCCACCTCCCCCTTCACCTGTTCCTTCGCAACCGTCTCCACCACCCCCTTCACCTCCACCTCCTCCACCTCCACCTTCACCTGTTCCTTCACAGCCATCTCCACCACCCCCTTCACCTCCACCACCTCCACCTCCCCCTTCACCTGTTCCTTCGCAACCGTCTCCACCACCCCCTTCACCTCCACCTCCTCCACCTCCCCCTTCACCTGTTCCTTCACAGCCATCTCCACCACCCCCTTCACCTCCACCACCTCCACCTCCACCTTCACCTGTTCCTTAACAGCCATCTCCACCACCCCCCTCACCTCCATCTCCACCCCCACCCCCTCCTCCGCCGCCACCTCCACCTCCTCCACCACCAGCACAATGAGTTTGTGGACCGTCATTTTCACTGCATTTGCCAAACCGCACTTGTGATGTATGCTGTGTATCGATATAGTTTTTTTTTTAAGATCCCTTTCTGAATCTATTCTTGCCCAGAAAAGAATAAGATTTTAAATCTCTATGTTGAAGCTTTCAATCATTAAAATCCTTCGGGATGACGATGCCGCACGATTTTGCTTCTAGTTGGTGGTCGTTTGCGACTGGGACTATGGTGGGTTGCGGGATGGCCCGTGCATTGGAGATGAAGCGACGCGATCCGACCATGTGCTGGTCGCAGCAACTGTCTAAGTACCATGTATTGTGTGTTTCCTTGCAAATCTTGGCCGTGCGGTGGGGACTCAAGGAGTGGAATGGGTAGGTTCCAGTCTTGGTCGTCTTCGTCAGTGACGAATTCTCCATCTTGTGTGAATAGGTTGGTATAGTTGGACGGTTGTGCCCTGACACCAGGTGACGGTATAGTAACTGAGCGGAAGTATCAGCGATTGGTGCGTCGCGTTCGGCGTTAGGTGCGCACCGCCATATTTGCGACGACGTGGCGCACGTTTTTGCTATGGGGGGTTCTCTGGTGATGATTTCCAGACAGTGTAGGCTGGTGTGGGGCAGATCGATGGTAAATGGACGGTCGATTTGCCTGGCGCGGGTGGTTGGAGCTTTCCGCCTGGGGTTGTGGTGAGCGAGTGTCGGAATGGGGAGAGGAGCGACAGTGCTCTGTTGAGTGTCCGATAACTTTGCAGATTTTGCAGTATTACCGACGAGGGCGATGGTCGCGACTATTGCGACGCCTGTCCTGATTTGTGTAGAAGGCAATTCTCTCGCGGCGCGGCCCCTTTTCCTGATTAAAATCCATATCATGCTGTTCTTGCAGAAGGGCGGAGCGGAGTGTGGCTTCTGAGGTGGCGCCTTGTTGTCGTAGTAGGGATTTACATGGCTTCTAGTCCGGTCCCAGTCCATCGAGGACTATACTGATGAAAATGTCTTCAGCGATCGAGTTACCTAACTTAACGAGTTCATCGCGGATGCTGCGGCAGCGATTAATGTAAGAATAAGCATTTTTGCCTGGAGTCATTCAGACTTCCATGAGTTGCTGCAGCAGGCGGCTCGAGGAGACGAAATCCTTAGGCTGGTATAGCTCAGTTAGGTAGTTCCAAGCCTTCATGGCGGGAGCAGGGTCGGTTTTGAACGAGCGTATGCCGAGTTTTCGGACGGCGACATATTGCGTAGGAGAACGCTGTACGTTATGCGTGCTTCGCAGTAATATTGCGCCTTGACTTCGTCGGTGTCGCTGGTGGTTTTGGCGTAGCTTCCGTCAAAGAAGCAGAAGATTTGGGCGCTTTGGAGGAGCCGTTCTAGCTCGAAACTCCACGAGCAAAAATCCCTTCTGTTGAAGACAGTGCTGGTGCGAATCTTTGATATGGCTAGCAACTTGTTATGGGCATTCCGGATTACTTCATCACTTGGGCGTGATGAAGTTGGAGCAAGAGAGTTCGACCCAAGGTCGAAGGTGGTTGGGGTCGGTTCCTTCTCGGGGACGGCCGGTTAGGTGGGTTGCAGGGAGGTACCCGGGTCGCCATTTTTCAATTGTTGGAGTCAGGTCTCCAAGGTTTGCATGCGTCGTATGAGTTGCTCAAGAAGTGCGTTACTGACGGGTGTGGTTGCCGCCGAGCTCGTAATGGGTTGGCATGAGCTTCGGCAGTGGGAGCCGCTTGCCCACCTGATTCTCCAGCCATGTTTCAGCGGGAGCGCGTACCAGACGCCATCTTGAATTCGAATTTGGATCAGATGTGAAGGTGCGAAGAATCCTGAGTCGCTCTCATACCATGTTGCAATCTGATAAAAAGCATTTACAGGATCGGCACTGGTTGATCGCATAGAGCGTAGCACCGGAAGATTGCTAGAAATTGGGTACGGACTCTGTGAGTAGAGGGGGGTTTTGAATCTCGACAGAAGTGACTAACAGCGCGATACAATGGTTTATATGAGAATTCAGGGGAATACGAAGGGTCCTACCTAGCCATGTACTATGAGGGGGTACATTCCCCTTAGGGCTAATCTAGATCAGGAAGGCAACCGTTCGGTTCGGTAACTGTACGTGGCACGGTAATTGTTTGAATGCCTTTCTCGCGCTTTGCACTTCAAATTCTTCCTCCTTGCAACCGTCTTCGATAAGGGCGTGTTTCCTACGGCCCCCTATCAGGCCCTCCTCATATCAGAAACAAAAGTATCGAGATTTTCGTTATAAGTCTCAACTTGTCAGACTGGAAAAATCTGTCTTGCGCAATGTGAATTCGCGCGCAAAATATTTCGGACATGCCACATCAGCAAAACATGTCACGCGATCTTGCTGAATTTCGTGCAAACAGTTAGAAACAGGAATGGTGTGCATTAGGCAAAGGGGGGGGTACAAGTACAAGGTCGAGAGAATTACTGTACCCCCTAAGGCTAAACCCACTACAGCCTAGTACAATATGGACATATAATGTTTGACACACCCCCATAGGCGAAGTGGGGGATAGCCAGGGCAAGCAATGGTCACAAGACCAGTCAAGAGAAGAAGCAAAGCAAAGCAAAGCTCAGGGTGGATCTCAAGATCACCACGCATTCCGAGCACAAGCAAGCGGCCACAAGGCCAGTTCACATGCAGAGTTTATAATAGCAATTGCAGTACACTGATCACAACCTAGAAAGGGCAAACATGCAGGTATAATCAAGTATATCAGAGTACAACAAGTGCAAGGCAAGATCAAGAGACAAGCAAGTGAGGCAGAGTGGGCACAAGCCCAAGAGCAGTGCAGAAACGCTGATGATCACTAGACCCAAGGGCCTTGGTGAAGACATCAGCAGTGTTGGCCCGTGTGGCCACGTAAGCAAGACAAAACTGACCACGCTGCTGCAGCTCTCGCGTGAGGAAGTAACGGAGAGCAATGTGCTTCGTTCTGTGCTCCATTCTCTGGTCCTGACACGAGGCAATCATGGCCTTGTTGTCGACGTACAGAACTGGAGGAGAACGAGGCCGCTCACCCAAGTCGGTCAGCAGGTAGGTCAGCCAACGGAGCTCCTGTGCAGCCATAGCCCCAGCGTAGATCTCGGCCTCACAGCTGGAACTAAGTACAGAAGAAGAGCGAGTAGACCTCCACGAGATGTAACCAGTGCCGAGAATGAAACTGTACCCCTGTGTCGACCGGTGAGTCGTCTGGTCGTCAGCCCAAGAAGCGTCTGAGTGACCGGTGAGAACAACTGAACCCGGTCCTCCAAGCACGAGCCCCATGCCCGATGTACTGCACAAGTAACGCAATACCCTCTTTGCAGCTTCCCAGTGCACCTTTCGGTGTCTACCGGGAGCCACGTAGCGAGCCAGGAGGCTGAGAGGGTACGCGAGGTCAGGTCGTGTGCACGTCATCAGGTACATGAGGCAACCCACAAGCTCTGGGAACGGACCACTCGGCTCTACGGACTCGTCCGAAGGTGGAGCTGAGAGCGAGTGGCCGGTAGACAGAGGAGTGGGTTGTGGCAAGGACCACGTGAAGTCGAAGCGCTGAAGGACCTGCTGCACCATGTGTGACTGAGTGAGGGTGATGGTGCGGCGTGCTCTATCCCGGGTGATCTGCAAGCCAAGATAGCTCCGCAGCTCACCCAGGTCAGTGCAGGTGTGTCTCTCCTGCAGCTCCGCCTTCACCAAGGCTAGAGCCTCAGTGTCAGCAGTAACAAAAACCAAGTCGTCAACGTACACGAGAACGTAGAACCGCGGCAGAGAAGTGTCTGTGCGAAGAAACAGCGAAGGGTCAGCAGTCGAGGGAGTGAAGCCAAGCGCGCAAGTGTAGTCCTCAGTGTGTCGTGCCACTCGCGGGGTGCTTGTCGTAGGCCGTAGACTGGTCGCCGAAGACTCCACTGGTTACCCTAAGGAAACGACCCAGTGAAGCCACGTGGACGGCGCAACCAGATAGCCTCGTGAAGGCTGCCCTGCAAGAAGGCTGTCGAGAAGTCAAGGGAGTGCAGCTCGTAGTCGCGCTGTGCTGCAACGTGCAGTAGCACCCGAAGAGTGGTCATCTTCGGGATGGGGGAGAAGGTCTGAAAGAAGTCGACCCCCTCACGCTGACTGAAGCCTCGTGCAACGTAACGCGCCTTGAAGGCAGGCAGAGAAGTCGGCGACCGCTTCACCCTGAAACTCCACATGCCATCGACTATGTTCGCCCCAGGTGGGGGAACCTCGTTGACGTAGGTGCCTGTGGACTTCCAGGAAGCCATCTCTGCGTCCATGGCTATCTGCCACTGAGAGGAGTACGGACCCGTGATCGCCTCTGCGTAAGTGCGCGGGGTCGGAATGTCCAGTGCATCCGGGTCTTCCTCAGGGCAAAGTAGCATGGACGCGAGATGAGGTGAAGCGGCTGCTAGGCACTCCAGCTCAAACTGCCTGTCCTCAAGGACGTCACAGCCAAGAGCAAGCTCACCCCCGACGGACGGAGGACAGGAAGAGTCAAAAACAAGACTCGCAGCGTAGTCAAGGCGGCACAAAGCGACAAAGTCAACAAGCTCAGAAACTAAGGCAGACGCAGCAACAGACTCAAAGGAAGGGTCAGTCACAACTGTGGCAAGGAGACGAGTTACAGTCGGACTGGCAGCACGGACAAGGTCAGACTCAGGGTCAGGAACGTGCGGAAGAGAGGACGCGGAAGGAGACGGCAGGACAACACGCTGTGGAACAGAGAAGGACGGAGTGTCATATCGTGAGTGCCTGGTACAGCCGGAGCACGAGGACGACGAACACGAGCAGGGACAGAAGCTCTAGTCTCAGGCTCTCGACGCTCAGGAGTGGAAGCACGAGTCTCAGGCTCACGACGAGCAGTCAGGGACGCCGTCACCTCAGTGTGAGGAGCAGGAGCAGGCAGCAGGGAGCCAGGCAGTAGCTATGGCTGAGACTGGTCAGACGGTGGGAACAGTAACGGAGGAGTAGTACCAGCAACCGGGAACTCAGTAGCAGCAGGCGGGAGACTGAGAAGGTGACAAA